TAACTCTAGAGGGCCCTGAGTGCCGGTCAAGGCTTTGTATGATATTCTTTAGGAAAAGAGAATCATCAAAGATTTGGGGGAGGGACCAGGAAGTGGCATAGAGGTTACATTGCTGGACTTCCACATGGCCGACCACAGTTCAAGTCCCGGCTTGAAACTCATGCTGGGTGCATGTGCAAGTGTGCTCAAGATTCTGGGAAGAGAAGGAACTGTAGTGTGGTCATCCCTCCTGGGGGGTGAGTTCTCACTTTCCCTCTCGCTGTCTCTGTCACTCTCTCTCTCGTGAGTGCACATGCTCCAAATTAAAAAAACCTCTTAAAAAAAGATTTTTGAGAAAGGAGCATAATCAGATGATTTCTTTGAGGCCTTCAACTTTAGTGAGAATATATAGAATAAATAATATTGGGTCCTTGGCAAAATCATGCTGCATTTTTGCATAGAAAAATATGTCATGACTTTTCCAACCCAGTAATAGAGGCCAGCAGGTGGAGTAGTGGTTAAGGTGCAGGACTCCCACATGACTGACGGCAGTTCAAGTCCAAGACCTGAAGGCTTAAGAATCACACCAGGTGCATTTACCTGTGTGCCCAAAGTCCCAAAAGAATGGGAAAGAAGGGATTGTGGTGTGGTCATTCCCCCTGGGGATTGATTTCTCACTTTCTTTCTTACTGTTCTCTCTCTGATGAGTCCATGTGCTCTATAGCAAAAAACTTAAAACAAACAAACAAACAAAAAACAGTAATATTAGAAACCCAAGGGACCAGCACATGGCGTAATGTCTATGCCACTGGACTCCTATGTAGTCAACTGCAGTTAGAGTCCCAGACACAGTGGCTTAAACTCATGCCGGGCACATGTGTATGTGTGCCCAAGATCCCGAGAGGAGAATGGAGGAGAAGGGATTGCAGTGTGGCTATCCCCCCGGGGAGTGATTTCTCACTTTCTATCTCTCTGTCTCTCTCTGTCTTTCTGGCGACTGCATGCGCCAAATAGCAAAAACCTCTCAAAAAAAAAAAAAAAAAAAAGAAAAACAAGACAGTATTTTCCCGGTCCAAACTGAAGTAATTATGGATGAAGAAGAAGGAATAAAAAGTAAGGATAATGTGACATGATGTATGTAGTGGTAGCAGGCCAGGAATGAAAGGGGTTGGGGGGAATCTGAGCAAACAAAAAAAATTAGTTTTTTTCCCAGTGTTGAGGATCTGAACACGCTTGGTTATCTAGCAACATTATATTTAGTATTATACTTTTTCACCTGTGCATTCAAGAAATTATTACATTCTTTCTTGTCATACTTTTAAGACCTGGTTTTAAAACCTGGAAATGAGGTTGTCTATATAGCCATACTTGCATTGCTATAGAGGATATGACAGAACTACATAGTTTATTGCATGTTGATTTGTTATCATGGATAGAATGATACAAATAATGCGAAATACATAGGCAGTTATAAAATGCAAAGATTTGCCAATCATTTAAGCATTATTGAAACAAAACAGCTTGCACGTGGCTATTCCTTAGGAATGGCCTTCCTTAATTATGAATCAAAGAAAATTAAAATAGTATCTGTGACTTTTGAACAAAAAATATTTTGGAATAAAACAAAGTATAAACATTTCATTATAAAATGATGTTTGTGGAGGGACCAGCACTTGGCATAATGGCTTTGTCACTGAAC